CAGTCTCTGGTCATTTCCTGTACTGTGTCCGCAGTCTCTGGTCATCTCCTGTACTATGTCTGCAGTCACTGGTCATCTCCTGTACAATATCTGCAGTCTCTGGTCATCCCCTGTACTATGTCTGCAGTCTCTGGTCATCTCCTGTACTGTGTCCGCATTCTCTGGTCATCTCCTGTAGTATGTCTGCAGTCTCTGGTCATCTCCTGTACAATGTCCGCAGTCTCTGGTCATCTCCTGTAGTATGTCCACAGTCTCTGGTCATCTCCTGTACTGCATCCGCAGTCTCTGGTAATTTCCTGTACTGTGTCCACAGTCTCTGGTCATCTCCTGTACTGTGTCCACAGTCTCTGGTCATTTCCTGTACTGTGTCCGCAGTCTCTGGTCATTTCCTGTACTGTGTCCGCAGTCACTGGTCATCTCCTGTACAATATCTGCAGTCTCTGGTCATCTCCTGTAGTATGTCCACAGTCTCTGGTCATCCCCTGTAGTTTGTCTGCAGTCTCTGGTCATCTGTAGTATGTCCGCAGTCTCTGGTCATCTCCTGTACTATGTCTGCAGTCTCTGATCATCTGTAGTATGTCCGCAGTCTCTGGTCATCTCCTGTACTATGTCTGCAGTCTCTGGTCATCTCCTGTAGTATGTCTGCAGTCTCTGGTTATCTCCTGTACTATGTCTACAGTCTCTGGTCACTTCCTGTAGTACATCCGCAGTCTCTGGTCATTTCCTTTCCTATTTTATACAAAATCACCAGCGCCAAAACCATGAAATTATTTGCTAAATAAATAAATGCTGCTGCTCATTGGTGTAAACACCAAAAAATATATAAAACATCAAAACAGCGCAAATATATAATACAAATTAATAAATATACACTGCAGTAAAAAATTTAATTAAATGTCAATTAATAAAAAATATAAAATGAAAATTAATAAGTCCCACTCCAAATCAATAAAGTGAAAAATAAAATAAAAATAAAATATATTCATGAAAGTCCTTTTGCAAACAAACTTTTGACCCATGTTTCCACCGAAATAGTGCTCAAATACCACATCGCACTCACCAAATATTGGTGAAAAAAACGCCTTTTAGGGTTTTTTCGGGATCCTAGACACAGTCAATAAGCCTCCAATCAGCAGATATTTTTGGATCTCCCCTACTTCAGACAGGAATATAGCCAGCCTCCAACCTCCAGGATGTCTCCAAAAGTTTTGAATAATGCAGGGAAAAAAACAAATATATATATATATAAAAAAATAAATAACGCTATATATTTGTTTTTTTCCCTGCATTATTCAAAACTTTTTCTTGGAGAGTGGTGTCTGGACAGAATACCGTCACGAGGCTCTGTATCTTACGCATGTATTTGTGCTAACTAAATCCCTGTTTTTAACACATACTGTTAGACAGGTTAATTCAGTTTGTTTGCAAGCTGGCTGGCAAGCTGAGCCAGGAATTTTTCTATTTTGTTGTACAGCCCAGTAACAATTTTTACTGCTACATTGTACCTGGGTGCCTATTTACATACCATGTTCTATGCAAGTACTCCCTAGATTCCTGGACACAGAGAGTATAAATTCCTCAGTTTCCCTCCCTCGGGAGAAGGTGAAGCCACAACTGATGAAGCAGAGATAGCTGGGAAAGTGATCTGCAGCCAAGTTTTAGGCCCTCCACTGTTAGACCCGGCATTTGTGCATCTGGGCTAGAGCCTAATAGCACATAGTTTCCGCACAAGACCTAGCTAATGTGGGGAGGCCTGGTCACCACCAGACAGTGCTGGATTAAGAGCATCATGAGCCTGGTGCTGAGGATTTTGTTGGCCTTAAGGGCCAAGCGTCGGCATGCACCCTGAAGTGAAAGGGTGCAGCCATGCAGGAGTAACGCTATGGAAGCCTGGCATGTGATATTCCAAGCTTCCAAAAGGGCAGTATGTCAGTGTATGCCCTGAGGTGAAAGGCTACGCAGGCCCAATGCTACAGCTTCTCTGCATCAGCGTGCATGATGCGCCCTTAGGTGAGGTGGAAGGGCACAGCCGCGCAGGCCTCACAACACTATGGAAGCCATATACCAGGCTTCTGTTTGGACTGCCCACCTGCTGCCCATTATTAATCCTGCCACCCAGCCCAGGAGGTGCGTGAGGAATGCAGGCCCAGTAAGGGTAGGGCTGCTGTTAGAAATCACAGGGCACTGTACAGCCTACCTGAAAGGTCCCCCCCCAAAATATCAAAACTATATTTTCACTAAAAACTCACTAAAATTATTATTAGCAGACAGAGATATAACATGACTTACAAAATTCAGGCTAAATCTAAAAGATAAAACTGTACTGAATGAATAAAGTTCTCTGTGTAAATGAGGTCTTGGGGCTCAATCACATAGGTGCTGTGGCCTGTACAGTGTGAATCAGTCTTAATGTGGCTATTGCTGTATGCAGGCAGCCTGTGTTGTGCTATCCTAATCTGACAGGTGTGTGGGTGCAGGTGTATAGCCACAAACACAAAGCATGTGTATGCAGGGCCACTCACCCACACGTGCAAACTTATCAAATTAGGACCTGCGACTGTGTTCATACACTGCATCCTCTGCATCCTCATAGAGTGGCAAGTGACTCCAGGCTCACAAACTGAATGAGCCCTTCATTTTTTAAATTTTTTTTGCAATTGTTTTTCATTCATTTTTTACAATTCTTTTTACAGCGCTATTGGGAGGCTTGAGTAAATGTTGTGGGGTCTAAACAGACCCCTGAGATGTTACCTTTGAGACAGAGAAAGGAATTGAGGGCACAGATTCATCAATTCCTTTCTCTGCAGCTTCAGCTGCAGTGCAGGTGAATGAACTGGAGATGAAAGCTCCTATTCATTCATAAACTGAAGCATAGTAAACTGTGTTCACTCACTGTGTTCATTCACTAAAGGAACATTTACTAAAGGACACATTTACCAGCCCCTTTTCCTGCTCTCCATCCTTAATCACCCCATGTGTGGGGAATGGGATCGGTACTGTGCGGAGAGGGCAACTACATGAATGATGCCCTTTGTGTCTCTCCCTCCAGCAGCTGAAAGCCAGTGGAGGGAGAGGAGAAAAAACTGGCTTTCAGCTTCTGCCGAGAGCCGCACAGGGCATCGTTCTATGATTGCCGCAGTACCAATCATAGTACCTGCACTGCCCACATCTGTTTCCCCCTGCAACCTAGGCCTCCCTGTGTGCCCAGGCCCCTTACAGGGAAACAGGTAGTACCCCCTTATCGGCAGCCCTGGGTCAGGAAAGATCTCTCCCCATCGACCCATTGCTTTCTGTGCGCGGCCTGTTGTTTTTGAGGGCCACTGGCCCTATATTAAGGTAGAGGGCTGGAGCTGCAACTCCAATAGTCCCTACGTTAATCTGGCCCTGCTACCAGAATATTCCAGTTCCATTGTGGTGATCCTTTGTCTTTGGATCACTCCAGCTGTTCACCTGTGTTATCAGAACTATCCTGGACTGCACTGATAGGGATGCTGTCTCTGCTATGTGGATAATCACAAGTAGCGGTTTGTATTTTAAACTTACTGAAATAATGATTCTTAGCTAGACTCACTGGAATATAGATCATGCCCATCTGGTGGTGTTTGCTAAGCTGAGGAACTCCACCTCAGCATAGAAAGTGATTGACCGGGAGGTCATAGGTGCTTTGGGTTTTGAGACCTGAGATACCACAGATTCTTGATAAGAGATGTGGACTTTCCGTGTCAGGCTGCTAAAGCCAGCAAGAAGTGTGCGCACAAAACAGCATTGCAGTTAGGCTCGATTTACACTGCCGCGACCTGGGATTCGACTTTTGAGACCCCAAGTCGCATGACGTGAAATCCCATGTTAGTCTATGAGAGCTGTCTGAAGTCGCTCCAACTTTCCAAAAGGTTCCTGTACTACTTCAAGGCGACTTCTATCCAACTTCTGCCCATGGAAGTTGCCTCCAAGTCGGATCCTCATCAATATTGATGTGATTTGGATCTGACATTACAGGAAGACTACCCAGGCATTCCCTGAAAGCTGCTTCAGAGTTGCTTCAGAGTCGCTTCAAAGTAGTACTCAAATCGCCTGCCAAAGTCGCACTGTAAGTTGCGAAACTTTAAGGTCGCAGTAGTATGAACCAAGACTTAGGCAAAACACCTTTTGAATTTTGGGACTGTCTTCTGGGACTTTTATATTTTGCTTTTTGGTTTTCTGTTGCCATTATAAGAAATGTATATAGTGTGTCAAAGAAACCTTGAACTATATATTCTAGATCAGTGATGGCGAACCCGTGGCACGCGTGCCACAGCCGGCACGCCGAGCCTTATCTGTGGGCACGCCAGGAGAATACCGTATTTTTCGCTTAATAAGACGCACTTTTTTTCCCCCAAAAAAGGGGGGAAAATGTCAGTGCGTCTTATGGAGCGAATATAGAGCGGCCGGTCCGGTATTTCCACCGCCGCCGTGTCAGAATACCGGGCCGGCCGCTCAGCTCTGCAGTGGGACCGTACCTGTCCCTCTATCCAGCGGCGCGCTGTCTTCCCGGCTTCTGTAGTGTGCGTGACAGCCGGGTCCCAAGTGCGCATGCGCAAGAAGCAGTGCTCTTTGTGAATGGTAAGGCGGTACCTGGGACACATGACAGATCCCAGAAGCCGCCGGACCAATCACAAAGCGCAGCGCTTCTCACGCATGCGCACTGGGCATCCGGCTGTCCGACGAGCGCCCACACACTGCAGAAGCCGGGAAGACAGCGCGCTGCTGGATAAAGGAACAGGTAAGATAAAAAAAAAACTCTGCGGAAGTAAGAGCGGGTACCTGTCAAATTCAGGTACCCGCTCCCCCTCCCTCCCCAAAGGTCAGCAGTCATCTGTACTGTCCGCAGTCTCTGGTCATCCCTGTGCTTTCCGCAGTCTCTGGTCATCTCCTGTACTGTCCGCAGTCTCTGGTCATCCCTGTACTGTCCGCAGTCTCTGGTCATCCCTGTACTGTGTCCCCAGTCTCTGGTCATCCCTGTACTGTCCGCAGTCTCTGGTCATCCCCTGTACTGTCCGCAGTCTCTGGTCATCTCCTGTACTGTGTCTGCAGTCTCTGGTCATCTCCTGTACTGTGTCCGCAGTCTCTGGTCATCTCCTGTACTGTGTCCGCAGTCTCTGGTCATCCCTGTACTGTCCGCAGTCTCTGGTCATCCCTGTACTGTGTCCGCAGTCTCTTGTCATCCCTGTACTGTGTCTGCAGTCTCTGGTCATCCCTGTACTGTGTCTGCAGTCTCTGATCATCCCTGTACTGTGTCTGCAGTCTCTGGTCATCTCCTGTACTGTCTGCAGTCCTGGCATCCCTGTCTCTGGTCATCCCTGTACCGTGTCCGCCTCTGGTCATCTGTGTACCATGTCCGCAGTCTCTGGTCATCTCCTGTACTGTGTCTGCAGTCTCTGGTCATCCCTGTACTGTGTCCGCAGTCTCTGGTCATCCCTGTACTGTGTCTGCAGTCTCTGGTCATCCCTGTACTGTGTCTGCAGTCTGCAGTCTCTCTGGTCATCTCCTGTACTATGTCTCAGTCTCTGGTCATCCCTGTACTATGTCTGCAGTCTCTGGTCATCCCTGTACCGTGTCCGCAGTCTCTGGTCATCTCCTGTACTGTGTCCGCAGTCTCTGGTCATCTCCTGTACTGTGTCCGCAGTCTCTGGTCATCTCCTGTACTGTGTCCGCAGTCTCTGGTCATCCCTGTACTGTGTCCGCAGTCTCTGGTCATCCCTGTACTGTGTCTGCAGTCTCTGGTCATCCCTGTACTGTGTCTGCAGTCTCTGGTCATCCCTGTACTGTGTCCGCAGTCTCTGGTCATCCCTGTACTGTTAATTAGTTTGCACTACTGTACGAGTTGTTTTTTCTAAACCAAAAGCTCGATATTCAGGTTTCATTGCAGTGTTGGCACTTTGAAAGAAATAAGTTGGTTTTGGGTTGCAGTTTGGGCACTCGGGCTCAAAAAGGTTCGCCATCACTGCTCTAGATGGTATATGGTCCCCAAGTTGTCATATAAGATGGACACTTCCATTAGCTCACTGTCCTGAAGAGAATACTAGCAGAAGGGCTTCCCTATCCACATATGGGGCCATGCCCCATCATAACAAAGCTGTGATAGTATCCTTCCAGCCTATATAGTTAACATGGTGTAGATTGTTTTTCTCAAGAAGTGTTGTTTTACAGACCCTGAAGTTCAAAACAAAGTGCACATTAGGGTCTATGAAAAGGGCATCTCCACATTGATGGAACATCATGTAATTCAAGGGAGGAAGGAGAAATGTCCTAATGTATTTTCACAACAGTTATGTGTTGCAAATAATTTCATTGCTAATGCAATCTATAAGAATTTAATAGAATTGTGCACATATTATTTACTGTTTTATCAGTTTGTACAAATTGTATTGTAGAACACATAATACTGTATGTCATGTGGTAAAATGCAAGTGTACAAAATACTGTATATCATGGATTCTGTTCGGAATGATTGTCCTCATTATCTGCATTATGTTTGCTCACAGACATGTGTGCAACGTCAGCAGGTTTGATCATTGCAAGACTCTGTGAGGCAATGCAGAGTTAGACGACAGGTCACGTATGTAATATCCAACTATCTTACAATTTCTGTTGTTCACCTTCATCCCTAAAGGGTAATGCTCAGATTGCATGGCATTCCTGTTGGGAAATTAAGCAGGAAGGGGGGAGGAACCAAGGATCTTATGAATGCTCCTTTATAGCATCTGGGCACTTAATAGAAATTAAATTATCACCTGATCCTACTGGAAACAGGAAAATGTCATCTAATGTATATGGGCACCTTAATATTTATAGCTGACCACACATGTACAGTCTGTGAAAACTCATTAAGATGTTCTCTAACAACTTTATCTCCTAGATTGTAAGCTCGAAAGAGCAGGGCCCTTGATCCCCTCATGTTTTGCATTGTATTGGTATTGTTCTGTCACATGTTCTGTCTCCCTTTGTAATGTACAGCGCTGAGCGAACTTTTGGCGCTTTATAAATACTGTATAATAATAATAATAATAATAGTGCAAAGGTCTACCTGACTGGATGTATAATGAAATCAACTGTTTTGGTAGGCCCATGCAGTACATATTTGTTGGCAAATTACGTTTTTGACCAGCTTTTAAGCCTGACGAGAGGAGGATGAGAAAGGAGGGGTGGGGATGCACATGATTTCTCATCCTACAATCTAATTGTATTGGGTGAGAAAAACACAAGGCTTTTTGTGAATGGGCATGGAGTGAGGAGGGGTTGTGTGGTGTGATTGGAGCCCTTCACTGCTTTCATGCCCATAGCACCTGGAAATCCTATGGAACTCATTTTACTATAATACAGCAGCACTGTACACACAGCATACCTTTTATTACCTCTTTCCTACATAGCTGGAGCAGGATTTGCAACAACATTTATCCCAGAGTTTGAGTTTAAGTCACTCACTTAAAAAAAAAAAAAAATCCTACATACAGGTATAGTGCTGGCACTTTATAGACTTCTGCACCTTTTAGTCCCATCTGCACCTTTTAGTCCCAGTCCCATCACAGGTATAGTGCAGGCACTTTATAGGCTTGTTCTGCACCTTTTAGTCCCATCGCTGTGTCTGAATGTTGGACCTCTCTGATTGGGCAAGGCTCTTATGCTTCCTGGTATTTCCAAAAAAATTGCCCATCTCTCTACCTCTCTCTACCTCCCACACAATCCTATATACTCATCACTATTTACAGGTTTCTAATTGACAAACAGGGCTATGAGAGAAGCAAGAGGGGACTAGACAGACTTCGACACCAGAAAGTGCCAAAAGTTTGCCTGATCAGGTTGACTTGGCACTTGAGAGTAGTGAAGGAACTAAATAGTACTGCAGGTATTTGCTTTATACCTATCGCCTGTCAGAATCTTACTTGAAAGAGGCATTTTAAATGGTTGTGCACAAAAATCCAAATTATATGATGGTGGGGAGCAGACTACTATGCAGAGAGCACTCACCTTTTTTTATACTCCTCAGTCCAGCAAGGAGTCATATTTCCATACATTTGCTGTGTACATATTTGTTCTGACTCACCAAGTAATTAAAGACGAATTTCAGTCATTTTAGCAAGGTCCCCTCTCCTGCCTCATTCCACCTCTCTCCAACACCTTTTCATAAAAACATTTATTGAAAAAGTTAAAACTTTTTTTTTTACTTGCCAAATCCTCTCCTAGGCGAGGATGACAACCCAGGCCCCGGCGCATGTGCACACTCATCAGGGGTCTTTACAAGTCAATTACAGCCCCAGCTTGTATGGGCAAGAGAAAGATCGCACAAACTATCTTTTGGGATGTGTGATGTAGACATGCCAGGATGCGGTTTGTGAGATCTCACACATGCAGGCATCTGCCAGAGGATTGACAAGGACCTGAGGTGGATGTGCGCATGCATGGGGAATCTGGCACATGCACAGGCACAATGCTGGGATCCCTGCCAAATCTATGTCTGAATCTGCCATGTCTGTTAAAGAAAGCAGCACTGGAGAAGTGTGGCAAGGGAAGCACTTCTGTCTTCAAGCAAGGCAACGATGGACTCAATGGTTTAGCAAATATGTTTTTTGTTTTTATTTTGAGACAGGTACAAGTGCTAGAGATTTGTATTTTTGGAGGTTTGGTAGGGTGAAGTTCCTCTTTAGGAAAGAGTGAAGATAAAAACCCAGCAGGGACCAGACAAATTTCAATCAGTTGTGTGGCCACCCCTGCCCAACAAAAGTAAATTGTTTAATCAACTTCTTTTGAAGGGACATGCTGGAAAATGTTTGTTGACCAGAATACAACAGGGGATTCCTTCAACCACCTCTCTTGTGTGGATGAAGAATCTGTTACATGGTCAAGTTCAGAAAAAAACACAAAAGTCCATCTAGTTCAACCATATAGAAAAAAAATGAGAAAACCTCCATATACACATTTACTGAATGAAAAAAAACTACCCATCTATGGCCAGCTTTAGTTTCTCAACTCATACTCAGCATCTTACAGATGCTGAGAATGGAAGCCAGATGGTGGGACAATATAACTCCATTGTGTCTACGCAGGAGTAAGGCAGGCCATACAATATGCTATTTTCTTTCTTTAAACCACAGGTTGAAGGAAAGAAAATTACTCAATACACAATCAATGTTGATGGGGGAAATCACTCCTGCAGCTATAGCCGCCAACAGTGATCCGGCAAGCAAAACCTGACAGGCTGGTCCTACTCAAGTCGATCGACTTCAGTACAACCAGTCTGCCCATAAATGGAACCATACAAACTGAAATCCATCTATGGCTGGCTTAACATCTTCATAGCATGGGCGGACTGACAAATCATAGGGCCCCCCGGGCAATTGGGGATCATGGGGCCCCTGTGTCCTTGCCCAAACTCAAAAAAGCCTATGAAAAAGGTACAAGGGGCATCTCATGGGGCCTCCTACTCACCCCGAACCCTCGGGCAGTGCCCGAGTTTCCAAATGGTCATTCCACCCCTAACTTGTAAGCACTGGAGGAGAGCAAACCAAGAGTTAAAATTTCCAAAATGGCCAAGTATGCTCCTGCCACAGCTCCCCAGGGCTGTTGTTATGTATTATATTGTAATATTATTCTAATTCTGATTTTAAACAAAATATTTATTTAAATATTATTGATATAGAGCTGAAACCTTTAGGGCTCATGCACATGAGGACTTAGGGCAGGGGTGCTCAGCCTGTGACCCGCAGGCCACATGTGGACCTCAGAGCCCTCTGATGTGGCCCTTGACCTTAAACCAGTGAAGTGCACTTCTACTATATCCTGTGGGTTTGATGCGCATTCAGAAAGTGCACCACAACCGCAAGATATAACAGAAGTCTATGGCAAACCACAGGTAACCTGCAAGAAAGCCACAGGTGAAGGTAAACCACAGCACATCAGTCTGAAAGCAACCTTATAGGGGGCTCAAGACAGTAAGGACTTGTTTACATTTGCAGTTTGGGGGGTGGTAATACCCCATAATTGAGAAGTGTTTACCACACCCCCCCAACCACTGGTGTAGCGTCAGGGTTCACAATGGTGTACCTGCCCCATGCTCTAGTGGACCAGTGCGGCCTATCTATCTTATTCTATTTTACACTTGGACGGGAGGGGAAGCATATATAGGAAACTATCTTCTCCATTTTCCTCCTGCAACTGCTGAAAGCTGGCTTTCTCCTCCTTCCCTTCCCTCCGACATGGATATACAAATGGCATATGGTGCAAACCTAAAGCAAAAAACAGTATGGGATGCAAGTAGTTAGCGATAGAATAGTATTAAGTCTATTTAGTCCATATCATAATCGTAAAGTCCATAAAAAGCAACTATGAGCAGCTCCACCAAGAGACTGGACTATATATCTGTAAGAACCAAACGGAACACAAGAGGGTACCTTTAAGTGCAGTATTAAAAACAATTTAATGAACCATAAGTATAGCACTCACATGTATGAAGAAGTAAGAAGCATTGTGAAGTGTTATAGATGACTCAAGCGAAGGGGACCACAGCCACTCAACGGATGGTATATCTGCAGCTTCGTCTGGGACCAGATGGAGCCGAGAGACAAGCCGGACACCTGCTCCTGTGGCCGTGATGGACCGCGGAACCAGAAGTGACATCAAGAACCACCGTGGCCTGCATGACCGGCAGTGGCATCAAGGAAGGTGGGTCCATAGGCTACACTGACTTCCAGTTCCACATTCCATCACAACCA